AAGCAAGATTTTTCCTTTGCATTTTATTGTTTCTAATCGATGTGTAGAACAGAAGAAATTGGGAACTGTCCCTTTAATAAAACCTTGTTTACCTACCCTCTTCTAGTAGGAGTGGCTTAGGAACCTGTAGAGTGAGGTATAACTTCCAATTCTGCATTCTGACCGGTAGCCTAGAAAAGAGTGCTGGTGCTACAAACCAGGAAGTGACAAATAATGTGCTTTAAATTATAGTAGAGCTTGTCTTTTATAAGGAAAATTCATAACAAAACTAGAGGATTAAAGCAGTGATTTTACATAGTTGTCATTAAATGTTTGGAACTCTACTGTAGAGAAACCTTGCAGTGTACGTAGAATACAAAGCTTTCAGGGCTAGAAATTGATCTGACTTTTGAGTCTTATCTGATTACTGCTTGATTCATCTGTATTTTGTTCAAGAGCTCAGCAGGCTGAACGGGGAGCCTTCCTCCCCATTGTTCTCAGGTAGGTGGTCAACCTTTGTTGATTGAAATTTTCTTTAAGTTTACTTGACCCAGGTTCTGCTGCTGATTATTGAAAGATTTATGAATATCAGTCTGGGTATATGTTTTGGTGTTTGAATATTCAACATGGCTGTAAATAATCATTTTTGTGACTTTGTGCCAACTTTGTAGAAAAAGTCATTTTTAACAAATTAGCAAATTAAGTGAGTGGCAAATTAAATGAGTTCTATTTTGTTTTCTCTTAACCTTATGTATTTGTACTGAATTAATAGATTAAAATATATTGAAGTTACTCTATTAACTTCCTGATAGTATTTAATAATGTATTTAAAACATTTATATATGTATTCAAATAAAATTGTATTTTTATTGTTACTATTTTACTCATAAGTTTCATTTCTTTCAGTTTTAGGAAGCTGTCAGAGTGTATAGCTAATTGTTTATGTACTTGTTTTAGTTTGTTTTTGGAATATTTTGATACCTATCATTTCTGAAGAGTTTTTATAAAAGCTTAATCTTCCATAAGTATATTGAAATATTGCTTGTTTCTCTTTATAAAGTTAACCATGCATTTATGACACTGATAGTGTTTCAAAGACAACATCTTTGGAACATATCAGTTATAATTATCAGAGCTAATTATCGATATTAGCTAACTGCTATTGTAAAAAAAAAAAAAGAAGCTATTCACAAATGGTTCTTCTGGAGTGGGAGTCAGACAGGTTGGGGTACCTTTAGGATCTACCACTAGTGATCCTTGTTATTTTTATTCTATGTACACTATGCTTCAAAAGACTTTTTATCCACTAAATAAGTAGTGTATATAAAATAATAAAATGTTAGAACCTTGTTGTTTACTATTTATTAGATGTTCATTATTTCCAATGAGAGTTTCTTATCAGCCTGAGATAACCACTCTAGGTTAATAGAATTCAGCCCCAAACAAAGTAACCTGACATTTTACCCAGCTTGAATAACTTTATTGTAGGTAACTGTTTGGATATTTTTGACTTTTTGAAATACTGATAATAATATCTGAAGTTTCAACAGCTACTCTTATGAAATGCTAGTCATCTGGGAACGAGGAGTCTAAAGTGCAGAAATTTTGTTCTTAATGTCTTTGAGTTTCCATGAAATGATGAAGGTCATCTAGTGTAATGTAACAAAGATACCAAAGCTGCTAGACAGAGAGGATAAACAGAGAGAAAAAAAAAAAAAGGAAATGTGATATTTGTTGTCGGGAATAGCTGGGAAGAATTCAAGATATCTGTATGTTTTGGCCCTGTAAAATCTCTATCTTTATCCCTACTACTTCCTCACTTAAAATTTTTACTCCAAGTAGTTTGATACAATGTTTACTGACTCCAGAACAAATATTGCTTGTGTTTCTCATGTATTTATTCTATATTTTTATGTAGACTTCTGCTCCCCAATTTTTAAATTTCTCCATTTCCTCTATTTGTTGCATTCCTTCAGCTCATCTGAAGACCCTTCTCTAATGTGAAGCCTTTTCTGATCATCCTAAACCACACTAATGTTTCTTTCCTTTATACTTCTATATCATGTTGATTCCACCAGTTCTTTAGTATGTAATAGTGTTATAATTTGTCCTAATTAACTTTTACATAAAAGTTTTCCATGTTTTTTCAACTATATTATAATATGTTGTTAGAGAACAAGTAGGATATCATTTTTATCCTTTTTAGTATCTAGTACAGTAATATATATTTGGTGTGCTTTAGTCGCTAACTTGTGTCTGACTCTTTTGTGACCCCATGGACTGTAGCCCACCAGGCTCCTCTCTTCATGGAATTTTTCAGGCAAGATTACTGGAGTGGGTTGTCAATTCCTTCTCCAGAGGATCTTCCCCAACCCAGGGATCAAACCTGCATCTCCCACATTGTGGGCAGATTCTTTACCATTGAGCCACCTGGGTTGTCCTATACATTTGGTAGGTTCTAAATAAATATCTGTTTAATGAATGAGAGAAGTAAAGAATCTTGCCAGCAATTGCTCCATGTAATGCTGCCTCCCCCTACCTTGCTTAATTATGTAACTAACCATCTATAATGTTTCTAAAAATCAGACCATTGTTTTTCATACTGTTACTATTTTTGTTTTCCTTTGTAATACATGAGATTTTTATATTAGATTATTTAACCCTGATGGACTTAACAGAAACAGAAGACATTAAGAAGAGGTGACAAGAATACACAGAAGAACTGTACAAAAAAGGTCTTAATGACCCAGATAACCATGATGGTGTGGTCACTCACTAGAACCAGACATCCTAGAGTGTGAAGTCAAATGGGCCTTAGGAAGCATTACTAAGAACAAAGCTGATGGAGGTCATGGAATTCCAGCTGAGCTATTTCAAATCCTAAAAGGTGATGTTAAAGTGCTGCACTCAATATGCCAGCAACTTAGGAAAACTCAGCAGTGGCCACAGGACTGGGAAAGATCAGTTTTCATTCCAATCTCAAAGAAAGGCAATGCCAAAGAATTTCAAATTACCACACAATTTCATGTCACATACTAGCAAGGTAATGTTCAAAATCTTTCAACCTAGGCTTCAACAATATGTGAACTGAGAATTTCCAGATGTCCAAGCTGGATTTAGAAAAGGCAGAGGAACCAGAGATCAATTGCCAGCATCTGTTGGATCATAGAAAAAGCAACGGAATTCCAGAAAAACATCTGCTTCTTTGTGCTAAAGACCGATGTGTGGATCACAACAAACTGTGGAAAATTCTTAAAGAGATCCCCTTACTTGCCTCCTGAGAAACCTGTATGCAGGTCAAGAAGCAACAGTTAGAACCAGACATGAAACAATGGACTGGTTCCAAATTGGGAAAGGAGTACGGCAAGGCTGTATATTGTCACCCTCCTTATTTAACTTATATGCAGAGTACATCATGCAAAATGTTGGACTGGATGAAGCACAGGCTTGAATTAAGGTTGCCAGGAGAAATATCAATAACCTCAGATACACAGATGACACCATCCTAATGGCAGAAAGCAAAGAACTAAAGAGCCTCATGATGAAGGTGAAAGATGAGAGTGAAAAGCTGGCTTAAAACTCAATATTCAAAAAACGATCATGCCATCCAGTCTCATCACTTCATAGCAAATAGGTGGGGAGACAGTGACAGACTTTATTTTCTTGGGCTCCAAAATCACTTCAGATGGTGACTGCAGCCATGAAATTAAAGACATTTGCTCCTTAGAAGAAAAGCTATGATGAACCTAGACAGTGTATTAAAGGAGAGGTCACTTTGCTAACAAAGGTCCGTCTAGTCAAAGCTTTGGTTTTTCCAGTAGTCGTGTATGGATGTGAGAGTTGGACCATAAAAAAGGCTGAGCACTGAAGAATTGATGCTTTTGAACTGTAGTGTTAGAGAAGACTCTTGAGAGTCCCTTGGACTGCAGGGAGGTCAAACTAGTCCATCCTAAAGGAAATCAACCCTGAATATTCTTGAAAGGACTGATAGTACCTTGAAGCTGAAACTCCAATAGTTTGACCCCCTGATGAGAAGAGCCAACTCATTGGAAAAGACCCTGATGCTGGAAAAGATTCAAGGCAGGAGAAGAAGGGAATAACAGGATGAGATGTTTGGATAGCATCACTGACTCAATGGACATGAGTTGAGCAAACTCTGGGAGATGGTAAAGGACAGGAAAGCCTGGCATGCTGCGGTACATGGACTTGCAGAGAGTCAGACATGAATGAATGACTGAACAACAACCAATGATACTTACAAAGAAAGAACAAGCTGAACTTTATGGAAAATAAATAAAAATAAAGACTTCCCTGGTGGTCCAGTGATTAGACTTCGCCTTCTAGTGTAGCAGGTATGGGTTTAATCCCTAGTCGGAAAGCTAAGATCCTACATGCCTCACAGCCAAAAAACCAAAGCATAAAACAGAAGCACTATTGTAACAAATTCAATAAAGACTATAAAAATGGTCAACATTAAAAAAAAAACTGTAAATAAAAAAGGAAATATTCTAAACTCCAGAGTTTTGTATTTTGCATTTTAGGAAAATATAATTTAAAATGTACTTATATATGAAGTTTCACATATAGTTAAAATACTCAGATACATTATAAATTAAGGGGAGGGGATTCTGAGTTGATTGGAATTCTGAATGGTGAACCACCACCCTGGTACACTGGTTGGATTGCAAAATTTAAATCACAGATTAGTAATTGCCAGAAACTATGAACAAATTATTTTATAAAAAGAGGATTTTAAATATCTTTCCTCACTTTCACAGTAGTTATTATAGTACACATTTAAAAATCATCTACCTATTTCCAGTATCAACTCTGTCAGATACATTCTGTTAACTTACTTTTTATGGATGTAGAAAACTGACATCTAGAAGGTCAAAAAACTCCAAAGCCATACATTAGTATCTGCACAGCTGGTCATTTTGACATCAGAATTCATGTTTTGAATTACTGTTTTGTAATTTGTTATATTCCCAATGGTTAGGCTAATCTTTGTGTCATTCTAGAGCTTGACCAGACAGGAATTCTGGCAGCTGCTCCAAGAGAACTATGGCACTGAGGTAGGCTTAAATGCTGAAGAGATGGAGAACTTGTCCCTGTCGATTGAGGATACTGTGCAGCCAAGGTACCACAAAATGTTTTGAAATGTCAAGATTTATCAATCTTTAGTCAAAGCAGAAGTATTTTAGACTATTAATTCAGGCTTTCTGTTTCACCTTGGGTAAAATTTGCCTCTTGCTTCTCTGTAGTGGAATGAGTGAAAGATGAGAACAATGAATAATAGTTCATTAATTGATAAGCAAATACAGATCAGATGATGTAATGCTAAGTTTTTAACTGTCACCTAGGATTTGCATAAAGCATGGGGTTAGTAAACCTTTTTATTAAGGATATGGAGAAGTACCTACTAAGTACTTAGCTCATTTGTTGTTCAGCCACTCAGTCGTGTCTGACTCTTTGTGACCCCATAGACTACAGCATGCCAGGTTTCCCTGTCCTTCACTATCTCTTGGAGTTTGCTCAAACTCATGTCCATAGAGTCAGTGATGTCATCCAACCATCTCATCCTCTGTCATCCCCTTCGCCTCCTGCCTCCAATCTTTTCCAGCATCAGGGTCTTTTCTAATGAGTTGGCTCTTCGCATCAGGTGGCCAAAGCATTGGAGCCTCAGCTTCTGCATCAGTCCTTCCAGTGAATATTCCAATGAATATCCCATGAATATTTCCTTTAGGATTGACTGGTTTGATCTCCTTGCTGTCCAAGGGACTCTTAAAAGTCTTCAGCACCACAGTTCAAAAGCATCAGTTCTTTGGTGCTCAGCCTTCTTTATGGTCTAACTCTTACATCCATACATGACTACTGGAAAAACCACAGCTTTGACTATATGGATCTTTGTCAGCAAAGTGATGTCTCTGCTTTTTAATATACTACCTAACATATATGTAAACAATAAAGTAAATCAGCTGGAAGATATTTTGAGGGTACAAAGATAATATGACTTTTCCTCAAGGATACCCTAGCGTCATGCTTGACTTGTAGTTGGCACTCAATAAATATTTGAATTCATTGATGAAAAGAGCTTATAGCACTATGGAAAATGCAAATACTTTTAATAGAGGGTTGAAAATGATAAGGGCCAAAAAGAGCAATAGGTAATGTGGAAAAAATTCAGAGTAGAGAGAGACTATTTTTGACTGGACTGATGGGAATTCACTTGGAAGAGTGGACATTTTTATTAACCTGTCAAATAAAAGTGCATTTTGTCCAGTGGTAATTGAGATCAAAGCAATACAAATAACTCAGGATAATACATGAAAATTCTGCAGTAAGCATTATGCTAAGTCAAAGGAGCCAGTCACAAAAGATCATATCTTGTATGATTCCACCTACATGACGTGGAGTCCAGAATCAGTAAATCCATGCAGATAGAGATAGTAGTTGCTAGGAACTGGGGGAGAGGAAGAATGGAAGTGACTGCTAATGGGTATAGGATTTCCTTTGGGGTGATAAAAATGTTCTAAAATTAAAAAGTGGTGATGGCGGTAAACAACTGTATTATACACTTTAAACTGGGTGAATTTTATAGTATATGAATTAAAACTTAATGAAAATTTTGGTAAATTACTTATTTAAAAATTCTATAGCAAATAAGTCTTAAGATGGAATGCTTTTGAAGTCTCAATATGTGTACATATAGATAGTCTTCTAGTTGTACTGATCCTATTTATATTGTGTCCGCTCAGCACTAATATTTTGCAGTCTTTTTTTTTTTTAACATGGGTTACACATGTATATTGTATTAGTTTTCTGTAAAGCTAAAAATTTCCATTGGACTACTCTCCTTGTAAAGTTTACTAGCCTCTCTCAGCTACTGGAGTTGGGTAGAAAAGCACTTGACATAATGCAGAAAGCCTTGGATGGTGGTAAAGAAGATCTGGATTCTAGTCTGAACTTTACCACGTAGTAGCTGAGCAAACTCAGGCAAATCACTTAGCCTTTTTGATTCTCAGTTTATTCATCTGTAAATGGAGGCAGTTAAACTAGGTGATCTCCAAGATCCCTGCCAACTGGAAAAGTTTCTAGTCTTTGAAGACAGAAAGAGTAAATATTTTTGATTTGCTGCTTTGTGCCCTGTAACACAGTGTAACATCCATCTTTTCTTAGGTGACTGAGTGCTTTCTAAAAGAAGATGTGGCAGGATCCTCATTTGCTCTTCTACTCTTTTCCCATTCTTCCAACCTCTGAGAGAACTGTGTCTGCCTCACACCTTTCCAGAACTTTATTTCCTCTGCTCTTTCATCTTTTTTCTCTTCACTTTCAATCTTTTCTTCACTCTCCTTCCTCTTTTTTTATTTTTCCATAATCCACCTCCATCCTTAAAACCCTCAGCTACAGACACAGCTCATGGTTTCATCTTCAGGAGCTGTTTTTCTTGTTCCCTCAAGGTGCTGCCATCCTATTGGCCAGGAGTAGACCTAAGTATTACTTGAGTGGAGTAGTATAGTATAGACTCTTCTGGCTTTTCTGTTTCTTTCTCAGGATAACTTGGCTTCAGATGTCAGGCTACTACTTTATTTTAGAAGAGCTTTACATCTAAATATAGTAATGATCAATTAGTAATACTAGTTGCTCAATAAAGTTGAGCACTGTAAATGAGATCCTTTTGTGCTCCTTTTATATTTCATACACTTTCCTTTTTTTTTTTTTCCACTCCCTGAAAGAAGAAAAGCAAGTCCCAAGGCATTTGTTGTAGTCTGTGTCCCTTTGATCATTTGAAAAGCTTCTCCTTTAACCTTAGGAATTTTTGTTCTCAGGAATGAGGAGAACATGGACTGATGGATGGGATCTGTGCTCAGATGTCAGGAGGTTCCCCTTCTCAGAGAGATGTGCTATCTCAGTTGGGACTGAATCTGAAGGGAGGGGATGAGATCTAAAACTGTCTTCTGGTGCCATCTGGCATCCACTCAAACACTTACCTTGACCCTTTCGAAGCATCTTCATTGTTCACAACTAAAACTTAAACAAGCAGGGTTCAATGTATTAGTTGCTGTTATGGCCATTTGTACTTGGTTCATTTTTAAATAGTTTCTGAAGTTTATAAAATCTTACATAAGCATATTTTATTTTCAGCAGTGAGATCAGTTTGCATGTGAGTTAAGAATATAACTTTGTTATAGGTAGAAGCTTATTTGTTACTTTAAAAAAATTGTCTTCAAAATGCTTTATAATAGAAAAGGACCTGAATGAGGAGACTAAATCAGTTATTTGTGCAAAAGTAACCTTGTTTATGTTTCTATGCTCTGTTTCTTACAGAAGTCCAGGAAGAAGCAGCCTGGATGACTGTGGGGAGAGAGATGAAAAATTATCCAAGTCAATCAGTTTTACCCGTGAATCAATTAGTTGGGTTTCAGAATCAGAGTCAATTGAAGGAAATTCACCAAAAGGGGTTGGTATATGATTCCCTTTTAAAATCTATCTGATATTGCCATGTTTTCATCATAATGGAAGATCAAATAAAAATACAGTATACAAAATGTTTAAACACTTAAGATGTGAGGCTGCTCTTTTCAGGCAAGAGTTTTAAGCCTTTAAATAGCAGAGATTATATGAGATATAAATAATATGTGTTTCTGTTCAGACCTGGATATGGTGCAGAGTTACCAGGCAGTTTCCTGAGCATCAGTCTATGAGGAGGATGCGTGCATGCCAAGTCGTTTCAGTTGTGTCTGACTCTTTGCGACGCTATGGACTGTTGCCTGCCAGGCTCCTCTGCCCTTGGGATTCTCCAGGCAAGAATACTGAAGTGGGTATTCTTCAGCCATGCTGTCCTCCAGGAGATCTTCCCGACCCAGGGATCAAACCCACATCTCCTGCAGCTCCTGCATTGCAGGTGGATTCTTTACTGCTGAGCTACTGGGAAAGCCCCTATAAAGGGAATAGACATTTTAAAAAATAAATAAGGTGGAAAAATTCATAGCAGAATTGTTCTCAGGATAGGGTATGTAATGGAAGGATCTGTTTTGAAGGGGAGATGAGAACCCTGAGCACCATGCTTGAGTAACCACAAATGCTTGTTAAACCGACTACTAAATCAGACGTACGTGCTAAGTTGCTTCAGTCGTGGGGCACTCTTTCCAATGCTATGGACTGTAGCCCACCAGGCTCCTCTGTCCATAGGATTCTCCAGGCAAGAAATGGGTTGCCATTTCCTTCAGGGGATCTTCCTAGAGATCAAACCCGTGTCTCTTACATCTCCTGCATTGGCAGGTGGGTTCTTTACCACTAGCACCACCTGGGAAGCCCACTAAATCAGACACATCCAGTTAATTTTCATAGTTAGTTAGCTAGTTAGGGCTTCCCTGATAGCTCAGTTGGTAAAGAATCTGCCTGCAATGCAGGAGACCCTGGTTTGATTCCTGGGTTGGGAAGATCCCCTGGAGAAGGGATAGGCTACCCACTCCAGTATTCTTGGGTTTCACTTGTGGCTCAGCTGGTAAAGAATCCACCTGCAATGCGGGAGACCTGGGTTCTATCCCTGGGTTGGGAAGATCCCCTGGAAAAGGGAAAGGTTACCACTCTAGTATTCTGGCCTGGAGAATTCCATGGGTCCATGGGGTCACAAAGAGTTGGACATGACTGAGCGAATTGCACTTTAGCTAGTTAGTTTCTTTGTTTATTTTTTCAAGTATTATTATAAGCCTATCAATTTTAAAAAAAGTTTTGGTGAGTTTCTATCAATCAAAGTCATTATTATTATTACTTTTTATACTCAGATTGCCCCCTCTGCCAATAGGAGCCCCTTCAAGTTGGCTCCTCTGTCCTTTTGAAATAATCAATAATTTTTGACAGCTTCCTTTCTTTCTGGTACAATGTGTCCCAAGCATTTTTTATATTTTCAGTCCCAGACTTAGTATCAGCTACTTGTCTAATGAGCCATAGATTTTAGTGAAGGATGGCACTTAGAAACCACATTCTAAGTGATGAGAGTGTGCAGCTTTTGTTCTTCTGATTGGTGATGCAAATTTTGGGCCAGTGCTGAATTTCTTATTTTAAATCAAAGCATTGGCTTCAAACTCTACCTCTGCCACTTTCTAACTGTATGACATTAAATAAATTAATTACTTAACCTCTCTATGCCTTTGTTTTCTCAACAATAAAATGAGGACACTAATACCCCATAGGAATTTTTAAGTAAAGACTAAATTAATTAATATATGTGAAGGTACATTGAATAGTCCTTGACATGTATCAAGTATTAATAACCATAATCTATTATAGTTGAATGGAGAAGGAAATGGCAGCCCACTCCAGTATTCTTGCCTGGAGAATCCCATGGATGGTGAGCCTGGCGGGCTGCAGTCCACAGGGTCACAAAGTCGGACATGACTGAAGCAACTATGGGACGCGTTATAGTTGAAGATGAATCTGTGTGTGGCCAGTAATGGACCTCTTTTACTACAACTCTCATGGAGCTCCCAGCATCTGTTGTGAATAAATGTTGGGGAAACATTGAAATAGATTATGTAAAAGGCCAGCAAGTTTTCAGCTTGTTTCAGGTGACCATCATGCATCTATCTCAGTCTGATTTTGTATTGTGGATTTCATGTAAAACTCATTCATCAAGAGACACTTAGGAACTTACTACTTGTGTAAGGGAGGTGATTCTGAATGCCAATCCCCTTGTATGCTCTCACTGAGAAGAACAAGCCACTGAGTTTTGGGGTTTAACAGGACAGGGGATCTCTTGCAGTCCCCTTATCCCTTTATACAAATCTGACTTTGAGGCTGGGTTCTCAGAACTATTAATATTATTATTCCTTGAGTCCTTACTGCAGCCTCATTGACAATGTTTTCTGTACCTGTTCTTGAAATAGTTAATCTGTTGGCCCTTCTAGTTTTGTTCCTAAAGGAAGTCATACTCTCTCTAAGAAAAAGAAATGGATTTAGAGGAGTAATTTAATGTTTTAAGTTTGATTATACATTTATTGATGTTTAAGATAGATGTTTTCAGCTTATGGAATATAAGTAATCTAAAAGTTTGGTCCCTTTTTGCCTTTTACATTCAAGAGAAGGAGAAGTACAGTGAGATTCTCAGATATCAAATATCATGTCACTTTGTTTCATTTTTACTTCCAACAAAGTTGGTAATAACAAAAAGTTAGAAATAGAATTTTCTAAGAATAAGTTTTTGTTAAGTTGTAAAATTAATAATCTCCAACAAAGTTGGTAATAACAAAAAGAAATAGAATTTCCTAAGAATAAGTTTTTAATAAGTTAAAAAATTAATAATCTTTTTAAGATTTAGGAAATTTAGAAAAGTATACAAAGAAGTACAAATCATCTGGATGCTAACCATTCAAAAATAGTGATGTTGCTTTTCCTATAGGTATCTGTCCATGTTTGTTACAATAGGAACTAAATCTTAATTAAAACAAGAAATTTGTGTGGAAACTTACTCTACTTAACATCTATAGAGGTCCTGGGTCAGCTAATAAGCATGTTGCTTTGTGGTGCGGAACTCCTGAATAAATCAAGTCTTGAGTTTAACAGTAATCTCTGACTGAAAAGTCAATCCTCTGACTTAGGATAGTGATACTTTAATAAATTGTGTCCTGGGTCCCGGTTGTTATTCTGCTTTCTTTTTTTTTTTCAAGTCATTTGGCTCTATAGATAAAACTTTTATTTATTTATTTTTATGTTTTATTTCTATTTTTTTCCATTTATTTTTATTTGTTGGAGGCTAATTACTTTACAATATTGTAGTGGTTTTTGCCATACATTGACATGAATCAGCCATGGATTTACATGTGTTCCCCATCCCGATCCCCACCTCCTGCCTCCCTCTCCATCCCATCCCTCTGGGTCTTCCCAGTGTACCAGCCCTGAGCACCTGTCTCATGCATCCAACCTGGGCTGGTGATCTGTTTCACCCTTGATAGTATACTTGTTTCAATGCTCTCTCAAAACATCCTACCCTCGCCTTCTCCCACAGAGTCTAAAAGTCTGTTCTGTACATCTGTGTCTCTTTTTCTGTTTTGCACATAGGGTTATCGTTACCATCTTTTTAAATTCCATATATATGCGTTAGTATACTGTATTGGTCTTTATCTTTCTGGCTTGCTTCACTCTGTATAATGGGCTCCAGTTTCATACATCTCATTAGAAGTGATTCAAATGAATTCTTTTTAACGAATGAGTAATGTTATTCTGCTTTCTTAATGGTCAGTGGAAACCTCCTGGAGCTCTTCCTCCTTGGAGCTGCTTCTGTTGTTCAGTGCTGCTCTAAGATCTCATGGGGCAGAAGGTAGAATGATTATATGCTTTTGCTGTCTTTCATCTGCTTATATGCAGACAATGCAGGAAAGTACATTGCCATATGGTTTGTATTTTCACACTGTTCTATTAAGCCTAATTACAATACTCTTCTATTTGACTACTACTAACATAGTAATAGCATTCACACTTTAAGGCCTAATATTAAATTTATTACAGAAATTTCTTTATAATATGACATATCTTTATTAAGCCATTTCCAGAAAGTATGGATAGCAGTATATATTGAATATATTTTAATGTACAACCCCTTAGTCCCTTAACAGTAAATCCAACTGTATTCTTATGGATTTGCTTTAATCTTTCTCCTTTAATCTATTCTCCCTCACTGTACTCTGATGTGACTTTTATATCTCTCTTTTCTTTCCCTTTTCCCTTTAGTTACTGGACTTGAGAGATGGGTGAGTTCTCTTCCTTGAGTTGATGGGGCAGGTATTGTCGGGGGAAACTAATTGGGTTTGACTCCTTTCCTTGCACACCCCAAAGAACTGACCACTCCGTTATTTTTGTCCTTTTTCTTCTTTCCCTTCTACTTAAGTGATCCATGTGTTGTTTAACTGTGAGTTCTTTTTTATGATGTTCTTCATAAATGTATTGTTCGTTAAGGTATAAGAAGATGACTTTAGGATGATCTATATTATCTATCAATATTTTATGGACCAAATGTAATATAAACATAACAAGCAAAGCTCTCAAAGAGCAGCATTTCAAAATGTGTTTATTATTAAAGATCTCATTGTTTGCCTTTTAGGGGCTAGGGAAAGAGGAACCCCAAAGTGAGAAACAGATCAAAAGTCCTTCACTAACTTCAGAAAAGAGGTTAAGTAGACAGTCATCAAAATCACTGGATTTGAATAAAAATGAGTATCTTTGTCTGGACAAAAGCAGCACTTCAGATTCTGTCGATGAAGGTAAAGACTTTCTTATAAATTTTAAGTAAAATTTCAGTTATATCTTTTAATGTTTACTTTGGTATTAAGTGTGTACAGATTGAGAATTGTTTTTTGTACCAAATACAGTCTCACTCTATAAAGAACCAAAAAGGGATGGAAGTTAATAAGAAATAGGGGAAAGGGGCTGCTAAATCTAACCCATCACCACTTTTTAGAAGCCTGAAATTTGAAGATCTTCATCATGTTTAGCCTATATTACCCCCACGCATTGAGTCAGTGGAAATGGAGCAGTAGCAACATTTTTGGAGAAAAGCACCATTTTTTTTTCTTTTTACCCATGACTTATTTGTATCTGAAATTTGTACCTCTTAATCTCACTCACCTGTTTATCTCCTTCCCCCACCTCCTTCCCTTCTGGCAACCACCTGTTTGTTCTCTATATCTATGGCTCTGTTTCTGTTATGTTTGTTCATTGTTTCGTTTTTTAGATTCCACATATAAGTGAAATCGTACAGTATATGTCTTTCTTTTTCTGGTTTATTTCACTAAGGATAATATCCTCTAGGTTCATCTGTGCCAAAAATGGCAAGATTTCATCCTTTTTATGGATGAGTAATATTTCATTTTGGGCTTCCCTTTACCACAGATGGCTCAGTGGTACAGAATTCACCTGCAATACAGGAGATGTGGGTTCTATCCCTGGGTTGGGGAGATCCCCTGGACAAGGAAATGGCAACCCACTACAGTATTCTTGCCTGGAAAACCTCATGGACAGAGGAGCCTGGTGGGCTACAGTTCAGGGGGTCACAAAAGAGTCAGATACAACTTAGCAACTAAACAACAATATTCCATTATATATATATCTATACCACATCATCTTTATCCCCTCTATCTGTTGATAGGCACTTAGGTTGCTTCCATATCTTTGCTATTGTAATAATGCTGCAGTGCACATAGTGGGGTACATATATCTTTTTGAATTAGTGTTTTCATCAGAAAAATACCTAGGAAGATACCTAGGAGTGAAATTACTGGGTTTTATGGTAGTTCTATTTTTAATTTTTTGAGGAACTTACCTAGTATTTTCCATAGTGACTGCACTAGTTTACATCCCACCAACAGTGTACTAAGGTTCCTTTTTCTCTACATTCTCACCAATACTTGTTATTTGCTGTCTTCTTGGTAATAGCCATTCTGATGGTGTGAGATGGTACCTCGCTGTGGTTTTGATTTTCATTTCCCTGATGATTAATGATGCTGAGCATCTTTTCATGTGCCTGTTGGCCATCTGTATGTCTTCTTTGAAAAAATGTCTATTCAGCTCCTCTGCTCATTTCCTTTTTTAATCAGGTAGTTTTCAGTTGTTGAGTTGTATGAGTCCTTTGTATATTTTGGATATTAACCCCTTATCAGATATATCATTTGCAAATATCTTCTGACATTCAGTAGGCAGCCTTTACATTTTGATTATAGTCTCCTTCACTGTGCAAAAGCTTTTTAGTTTGATTTGTTTATTTTTGCTTTTATTTATCTTACTAGAGGAGACATAAAAAATACTGCTAAGAAAGATGTCAAAGAATGTACTTGCTTATGTTTTCTTCTAGAAGTTTAATGGTTTCAGGTCTTACATTTAAGTCTAATACAGTTTGAGTTTTAAAAAAATCCTAATGAAAATCTGCATGGTGTAGTACTGTAAATCTTAGTACTTACTTTAACCACAAAAAGAGAGGGGAAGAGAGAGATTTCAAAAGTAGTTGTTTGTTCAGTTACTTAGTTGTATCTGACTCTTTGCGACCCTATGTACTGAAGCACGCCAGGCTTCCCTGTCCTTCACCGTCTCCTGGAGCTTGCTCAAACTCATGTCCGTTGAGTCAGTGATGTCATCCAACCATCTCGTCCTCTGTTATCCCCTTCTTCTTCTGCCTTCAATCTTTCCCAGCATCAGGGTCTTTTCTAATGAGTTGGCTCTTTGCATCAAGTGGCCAAAGTACTGGAGCTTCAGTTTCAGTATCAGTCCTTCTAATGAATATTCAGGATTGATTTCCTTTAGGATGGACTGGTTTGGTCTCCTTGCAGTCCAAGGGACTCTCAAGAGTCTTCTCCAACACCACAGTTCAAAAGCATCAATTCTTCAGCATTCAGCCTTCTCTATGGTTCAACTCTCACATCCATACATGACTACTGGAAAAACCATAGCCTTGATTAGATGGACCTTTGTCGGCAAAGTAATGTCTCTGCTTTTTAATATGCTGTTTAGGTTTGTCATAACTTTTCTTCCAAGGAACAAGTGTCTTTTAATTTCATGGCTGCAGTCACAATCTGCAGTGATTTTGGAGCCCAAGAAAATAAAGTCAGCCACTATTTCCATTGTTTCCCCATCTATTTGCCATGAAGTGATGGGACTGGGTGCCTTGATCTTCATTTTTTGAATGTAGAGAACACAGTAAAAACAAAAATCAGTTGCTTAAGGGAAACTTTAGAGCAAATCATGTTCTCTTTACTTTCTTTAAGTAATACCAATAACCTGGGGCTTGTCATGCTTATCAAGTCATGGAATTTCAAGGTCATTTCAAGCAGTTTTCTTTTTTTTTTTTTTTTTAGCTGTAAGATTACTGACATTGAAGTCAGTGAAATGAGGAGACAATAGGAAGGGTAGGGTAGTGGCTGACTACTTTCAAATTTCAGGAAGCAGAATAATGCGGGTCGAGTTTTGCTATACCTTCTTTTGTAACAGCATGTTATATTACTATTCCTACCAGAGTGTTGGTGAAGGGGACATTGTTGTGGTTTGGATCTGTCTGACATGACTGTATTTACTAGTCTACTTACTGTTCAGCTTAGACCTGGTTTGGAAACCCCTGAAGGCTGTTTATTAAATCCATGAAAACCAAAGTTAAATCCAAGTCAAATCTAAATCAAATCCAAATCTAGTTCAAATCTAAAATCAAATCCAGATCCAAAACCAAAACAAATCCATGAAAACCAAATCCAAATCAGGTTCTACCTTGGCTTGTAAACACTGAAGTATCTTTGGTGAAAACTAAATCTACACTCTTAAAAACCTAAGTAAAAATAAACAGGCTCTTAAAAATTAAAATGTATTAAGAAGACAGTGTGTTCTTTTGAAAAGATCGAGAGGAAGTTTTTTTGAAAGGATCAAGCACCAGGAATGACTAGACTCTCTTAGCGTCCTTACCATTTGTGCCTGGGAAATTCCATGGATGGAGGAGCCTGGCAGGCTACAGTCCATGGGGTTGCAAAAGAGTTGGACATGACTTAGCAACTAAACAACAATAGCATGTAGCTGTGTGAGTTAGGTATCCCTGCCTGGCCAAGGCTCTAGCTGTAGGAAGATCTGCTCTGGCACTCAGTGGCCACACACATAAGTGACACCAAAATGAGGATTTTTGTTTGTTTGTTTTTGCATCCAGAATATATTTTGAAAATTTTTACACTGATACCAAAGACAGGCAAAGACACTACAAGAAAATAACAAATATCCTTTACAAATATTGACATCAAAATCCTGAACAAAATACGAGCAAATCAAAGCAGTACATTGAAAGGGTTATACACTATGACCAAGTGGGATTTATTCCTGGAATTTGAGAGTGGTCAACAGACAAAAATTAATCAATGTGATTTGTCACCTTAATAGAATGAAGAAAAAAAACCAAAACGATCATTTTATTATTGATGCAATAAAAGAACCAAATGAGGATTTTTTCTTTTTCTTTCTCATCTGCTCTTTTTTTTTTTCCATTTATTTTTATCAGTTGGAGGCTAATTACTTTACAGTATTGTAGTGGGTTTTGTCATACATTGACATGAATCAGCCATGGAGTTACATGTATTCCCCATCCCGATCCCCCCTTGCACCTCCCTCCCCACCCCATCCCTCTGGGTTTTCCCAGTGTACCAGCCCCGAGCACTTGTCTCATGCATCCAACCTGGGCTGGTGATCTGTTTCACCCTTGATAATATACATGTTTTGATGCTGTTCTCTCAAAATATCCCACCCTCGCCTTCTCCCACAGAGTCCAAAAGTCTGTTCTGTATATCTGTGTCTCTTTTTCTGTTTTGCATATAGGGTTATCGTTACCATCTTTCTAAATTCGATATATATGCATTAGTATACTTATTGGTCTTTATCTTTCTGGCTTACTTCACTCTATATAATGGGCTCCAGTTTCATCCATCTCATTAGAACTGATTCAAATGAATTCTTTTTAATGGCTGAGTAATATTCCATGGTGTATAATTACCACAGCTTCCTTATCCATTCGTCTTCTGATGGGCATCTAGGTTGCTTCCACGTCCTGGCTATTATAAACAGTGCTGCAGTGAACATTGGGGTGCACGTGTCTCTTTCAGATCTGGTTTCCTCGGTGTGTATGCCCAGAAGTGGGATTGCTGGGTCATATGGCAGTTCTATTTCCAGTTTTTTAAGAAATCCCCACACTGTTCTCCATAGTGGCTGTACTAGTTTGCATTCCCACCAACAGTGTAAGAGGGTTCCCTTTTCTCCACACCCTCTCCAGCATTTATTGCTTGTAGACTTTTGGATAGCAGCCATCCTGACTGGTGTGTAATGGTACCTCATTGTGGTTTGATTTGCATTTCTCTGATAATGAGTGATGTTGAGCATCTTTTCATGTGTTTGTTAGCCATCTGTATGTCTTCTTTGGAGAAATGTCTGTCTAGTTCTTTGGCCCATTTTTTGATTGGGTCATCAACATAGTTTTGGAAGTGTTGGCCACAGCAATCAGAGCAGAGAAAGAAGTAAAAGGAATCCAGATAGGAAAAGAAGAAGTGAAACTCTCGCTGTTTGCAGATGACATGATCCGCTACATAGAAAACCCTGAAGACTCTACCAGAAAATTACTAGAGCTAATCAACGAATATAGTAAAGTTGCAGGATATAAAATTAACACACAGAAATCCCTTGCATTCCTATACACTAACAATGAGAAAACAGAAAGAGAAATTAAGGAAACAATACCATTCACCATTGCAAC